TTGCCTGCAAAATAACATCTACCAATCCTTATGACAGCAGTGATTTCCTCATTTTTTTCTGAATAAAAAGATTAAAGGTATAGCCATAAGGATTTCAGCACCTTATTTATGTCAATAGGCATCAGAAGCATATGTTTGGAGCAAGCCTCACTGCAGAGCACCCACTTTGTAGTACGATATGAAAACACCATCTGGTGTGTTAGCAGCGGCTAGGCTAAACTAGCTGGGGCTAGATGGGGCCCTGCTGTGTCACAGGATTATCTTACTGGTTGGTAGATCCGCTCTATTAGCCCCTAGTGGCTGGGATTATTGGATGATCATTATTATGTGTGACTGAACAAGAGGCTAAGTACCTGCACTTCCTGGATGCAGTCAAGTCTTGTTAGTGTTAGTGATCAGACATATTATGAGCACATTTTCAGAGTATTACGCATTTATTTCACCTTGTCTTAAACACAAACACACAGTTCATTTATTACAGTTCGACTTGGACTTACCGACTTAAAAACAGGCTCTGCGCTTCAGAAAAGACAGACTATAGCACGCCTGGAGCATATATTTGTTTGTGGAAGTAGAATGTCCCTTTCTAATGCGTCTAAACCGGATCACAGGCGAGTACAGAAGACGTTCAGAGACGGGGCCCTCTGCTCAACAAAGCGAACATCTGCCGTTTCTCATCAGCGAGATTGAAGTTAATGACGAGCCGCGAGTGTGCTGACAGAGAGAATAGAATTGGATTGTGTACAAGAGGCCCAGTGAGACCAGACATATGTTTTAGAAAATGTTGTGGATGGAATATGGCTCTATATAGTACGTGTGTGTGTGTGTGGAAGGTGAGATACACATGCCCGAGATTGGAGTAGTAGAAAACAGGCCGCTGCTTTTTTCTCTGCAGTTGATGTTTATACGAGTGGATGAAGGGGGAGTGTGTAAGCGCAGGTAAAACAACCGTTGTATTCTTCCCCCTTCAATCTCTGCTTTTGCTAACAGATAATGGAATTACACATCAAAGAAGCTTCCCCTTTATCCAATTCTTCTGTGACCTCTAACAGCCTTTGTTCATATTCACCACGACAACTCCCCAGCCCCAAGCCTCCACCAGCAGGCTTCTCCCTGCTTCCTCTCTCTGTCTAGGGAGAGATTAAATTTAGATGAAAATGAAATATTCATTTCCACTCAGCAGCTGATGGCCATCTTTATTTGATACAACATCTCCTCATTGTTCTTCTTCATCACCAAACACTTTTTATTTCATTTCACTGTCCTCCTCTTCCCTCTTTTTGCCAGCCATACCATCCTCATGTGGGCAATTCTCAAAACAAGCCGTCCTTTGGGTTTCACTTTGTTAAAAGTAGAAATGCAAAGTACCATTACAGCTTTTCACAGTCTCTTGAAATATGTCTGAGTCATTTCAGATGAGACATTTGCGAAAAACCCCGGCCAGGGAGTAGGGATCTCAGGGAGCATGCGAGTAGACGGTGCACTCTCTATAGCTCGCTTCAAGAGTTAATCACATGAAAACTACTCAGTCTCTCTCTGCTGCTGGTGCGGGGATAAAGACAAGCCTCTGAAGTGGCTCTGTGTTTGCAGACTTCAACCAAAGTGGTGACCACAGACCCGATTTATCCCACTGAAGCTTATGAGTGGTCACACCACATACAACTTCAAGTGCTGCACATTTGTCAGCTTATATTTAAATGTTCAGCCTGTTTCACACACAATAATTAAGTCTGCAGTCATGGCTGCTCAAAGCATTTTAGGGAGGCTAAATGAAAAATGCATGTGACCAGGTGTTGTCGGGGCAGAGCGAGGAGCAAAGGAAATGAAATCAACATGAAATCATGAGGAGATTGATTAACTGGCACTGATTAAGTGCTTTGAGTATTAGGTAGATAAAGTAATTGATTATACAATAAATCCCTGTCAGGCAGTGAATAACCTCACTCGGAGAGAAAAGAGACACCAAATGATGAATTAGTTTCTTCAATCCACAGATGAAAGACACAATGTATAATAATCAGTTATTACTGTAAGCTTTAACAAAAGATCGATGCATTTTCATGTGATCAAAATTGTGCAATCCCTATTTGATGGAGAGGAATGCAATGTATTACGGATTATATTTAATTGTGCAGATTGAATGCTGCTCACTGGGGTCACAGAACAAAGCACTATATAAAGCCACCATCATATTCAATGAAATCATCGGTGTACTGAGTCTTATTTCCTTACAAATTATCTCCAGACACATGCTACCTTCTGAGAGAAAAATGACTCCAGCAGTTTCTTCTTCATTATACCAACATTGCATTATCCATTGAAATGGTTCCTATGAGATGAGAGGTTGCACAACTTTTCAGGGGGGGGAAAAAAGAATTACGAAAGGCAGACGGAGGGAGTCTAAAGAGAAGCACAGCGTGTAAGTGGACAAATACTGGAGGAGCAGTCTTTTATTCCCTCCAACAAATAGAAGCTGCAGAACAAGACGGAGCGACCATCTGGCCTCAACTTAGAGCAGTGCACTGTAAAAGCACTAAAATCAATGGCAACAACTCTACCTTGGATGCCCACCATTACCCAGATGGTGTACTTGGAGAACTGCACAGGCCACCTAACCAAGAGCAGACACAGCACAGACAGAGAGCGCCGTGCTCAAATACCACCGCCCACCTCGATGATTTTCACTGGTTTGTTTGTGTTGGTAACCAGTGATGAGGAGCGACGTTGGCCACCGTGCGCCGACTATAAGAGAGCCCTCTGTTGGTTTTAGCGGGGTGGCTGCGACACAGAGCGCACATACACTAGCACACCAAGAACTAAACTACAACAAGAAAGGGGGGCACTACACACACGCACTCAAAAAAGCGCTCATCCCAAAACGAATCAACAGACTGTGAATACTAACATCCTCTCTGAGAAAATATGATAGTTTTGCTGCAATAATACACATGGCCTATCTGATGAACACCCCAAAGCTTATCCCCTCTTCAAACAGATACAATTTAATTGTATGAATTCAATTATATAGAATATTATCTCACATTTCTTGTTATTTTCACACAGGCCTATTTTTGAGTGGACAAAATGAAATGGAGGCACACATGGCCGTTTACGTAAACACTGAGCTTCAAAAGATCACATGAAGACGTAAGCCTTCTGAATTAGATGTTTTTTTCCTTTGGCATTGAGGCAAATTCAGCAACCTTGTCAAAATACAATCGTAGGAACACAACAAAAAAAAAGAAACTGCTCCTGCACCACACGCATTGATAGATTCTATAAAAAGCAATAGTGCGACTGTAGCACATTTCAAGGTAAATTTGTCTCAGCACTTTGACATTTTTAAAAACAAAGCCTGTCAACTCTATTTCAGGTTTTCATTTGAGCTGCTGCCACTGTCAAAAAGAAAAAGGAAAAAAATGTCCTTTTGACCAAACGATTTCAGTTCAGATCAGTAGAGAGAGAGAGAGCTTTAAGGATTTATGCGGCTTCTAAGACATCACCAAAGTCCATGCACAGCGATGTCACAGAAGTCATGGCTCTTCAGAGTGCAGCAGTCAATCACAGGGACGTCCTGGGCCTGCCTGACAGCGGCATATGACGCCTCTCACTAAACATTATTCTACAGTCTTCCACTTTATTCTGCGTGTTTCTCCTGAATTGCTTTTTTAGAATTTGTATAACATATACAGAAGGCTGGACGACATTCACTCCAGCTCATAGATATAGCGATACGTCATCCTGTTAAAGTCGAATAACTTTCCTTTGAATAAATGTAGCTCAATGACCACACGCTGAGCTTGACAGGAATCGTATTACAAAATCAGAGTGGGATGTTGGTGATTTGCACATATGTCACACAAGAGACTACTGATTTGGAAAGGCCATCCACCTCTCTTAGAGGACTGGAATATAGAATATGCAATTTTATAACATGCATCCACTTTCACCCATCATTTATAACTCGAAGACAAAGAGCTCCATGCCATTACGCTGCACTCACTCCCTGTTTGTACCCCGGCTGTTGTAGTGGTATGTTAATGTGGGCCAATGCCATTTTGAGTAATTGTCCTGCATGGCACTCCGCCAAATGTCAAAAACGATTTGCCTGGTGACAAAAACCTTATTGATCTTCATTCTGCTCCTGTCTCTTGGCGGCGCAAAATGTTTCATCGCATCGCCAGCTTCCAAATGACAATTCTCACATTGTTCGTCAGTGAGTGATTGGAAAAAGACAACACCAGCACAGACCCTGCTTCTTCTTTGTGTGTGTGTGTGTGTGTGTGTGTGTGTGTGTGTGTGTGTGTGTGTGTGTGTGTGTGTGTGTGTGTGTGTGTGTGTGAAAGATCAGGAGGGAGGACTCAGGATTTAACGGTGCAATGCAATGCAAATTTGAACAGATTGTTTTTTTGTATAGTGTGAGCACTTTGTTTTGTTTGCAGTGACAAGATAAAATAATATAAAATAAGATTAGATTACACTCCACTCCCCTGAATAAATTGTAAAATTGTTTGAAACTTTCGCATGGTGTATTCCTTAATGTGATGCAGTAGTTTTTTGATTGAACAGACTTCTTAAAAGCTAAACATTACTTCCAGAAGGCATAGCAATGATCCTGAATTTAGCTGGTGACTCAACATGCTGGCTGCAGAAAATGGAACAGACAAAGCAGAGTGCACAGAGGTCACACTAACCCACAATATTTCATGGCGTGGTCTCTGAGTGGAGAAGGCATCCTCAATTTTACAGGCAATCGTCAGCCATAATGCACTGCTCTCTTGTTGCATGCTGGCTGCTCCTCGTTTAAGTCAAATGAAACAACCCGACTGAGGCGAACTGCTTGTTTAGGCTTTACCCCCCCCCAAAAAAAATACACCCGCTACCGGTATGACCTCACGAATGAGGACCCGCACTAAAATGCGCGGAATAAGGGGGCAACTTTCAAGAACAGAAACGTGTGTGTGTGTGCGCGTGTGTGTGTATAAATGTGGAACACTTACCTATTCGAATAACATGAGGCATCCCGTTAGAGTAGTGAATCCAAAAGAGACATGCAATCAGCAATGTCCAGTATTCCCAAATCGCACTCCGGGGAGACAGCCAAGTATTTCGCATGGTTGTAAAGTCGCGAGATCCACTTTTTAAAATTCCAAAGACGACTCAGAATTGCTCATCAAAACTGAATTCGACGGAGCATATATGGATTTTGGTGTCTTCGATGAATTTGCGCTCATTGTACTTGGTGCAACATTCTTCAGGGTTTTTTTTTTTCTTTCTTTTTTTCTGTTACTCACAAGTCTGAGAGCGGCTCGATCTGGATGAAGCCCCCAGCCCCTCACAGGCGGATCAGTGATACACCTGCGAACGCAGGCTGCTACAATTACCCTGCAGGAGTCTCTGTATCCCCTCCTTCCGCCGATGCTATCTGTCTACTGGCAAGTACCACGGCAACAGCCGAGCCGGACTCCCGCAACGCTGTAGAGGAGAACTGCGCCTGCGGAACTTTGGGTTGCCTCGAACGATTCTGTCGTCCGACAAGACAAACAGAGAAAAGCGTCACACGATGAGTGCTGAGGAATATGAACGCACTTTAGACGTTCAAATATTGCTTTCTGCAGTTGAATCACTCCAGTCTCCCATTCCAGTCATGAAAACTGTTAACACAGATGTACTTTGAGATGGTGGAAAAGCCGCTCCGCGACGCTCCTCTCCAGTTGCGCACGGTGATGGCACGAGGCTGGCTATTGAAGAACGTCCAAATCTGTACAAAAAGGCTCTTTGTTGCACAGTGTTCATTTAAAAAAAGCCTTCTAGTTTGTGCTGGATGGAAAGGCAGTGCAGAAAGCCGTGCATCTGCGTGCGTCTGACGACCCTCCTTCCACGGTGCCACTAGAGGCACGCGTCGTTACGCATACTTGTCAACTATGTCCAAGGAGTATTTTATGGAGGTGAGATGGATCCGAATAATGACTTGGTCTTCTCCTTTTACAGTTGTTGTATACACTTGCAACATGGTATACATTGTATAAATGTATGTTCTACATTATACATTTGATATTATGATATTTAGGGTTTTGTGTTCTCTTAGAGATGCAGACTTATTTCTTATTTACTGCTCTGAGATGGATTTTCTTTGCCTCAAGCAAGCAAGTAGGAAACCCCCGCCTGTATTGTGAATGTGATGAATTATTTGCATGAGGGAAATAAGTGTCAGCTGAGGATTGGGACATTGACAAAGCAGGCTTCTTATCGCTGTTATTTGAGACATTCAGTCTGTGTCAATGAGTACATTAAACCCCCATAACTGCTTTCTGCCATATCTGGCTGTCCATTTTTCATGTTTTACAAATAGCCCTCAAATACAAACTGCAGGTTATATATACAATGACACAGTGAGTGCCACTCATACCTCTCTCACTACTGCAGTGGAGGAGGTAAAGCCCGGCTGAAGGTATTGAATTACCTGTTTATGGCACAGATTGCAGTAAGTGAATTATGCATTTTTTTCCTAAAACAGATAACTAAAACGTGTAGCATCATCAAAATGCTGAAATCAACTTCAGAAAGCTGAAAGCTCTTTAAAAAATATTTTCTGGTTGATTAATCCCCTTTTAGATAAAGAACATTTTTAATATGCAGATAGGAAGATAGATAGATGGATAGATAGATTTGTGGAAAAAAATCTAAACCCATTTGACATCACAAATAATGTTACAAATAGGAGATATTCTATAAACCAACACCATAGATTGCATTTTTTACACTAATGATTTGCCGTTTTTAAGCATATTCTGACAATGCGCTGCTACATTTCTTTGTGCTTAATAGAACACTGTTGATGAGATGGTGCTGTGGCTCATTGGTTTTATTTTTCTGTTTGGAATGGGGTAGAGGAATAAACTGTGCATCAGGGGGCATGCAAGCAAGAACAAGCCAGACTGACTGCCACTGCATATTCATGTCTCCCAGAGCAGATTTATCGCCTCTTGGCACAATGTAAGGACTATCAACGTGAGTTATGTGGCCCGGCTCTCGCATTATCGAGATTCATTGACTTGCTGCTCTTTCAAATACTAAATGTACACAGCTCTCGCAAACAAGACATCCTGGGTCTGTGGGTGCCCTCTATAGAGAGATGGCGGTCTGTGCTCTCAATCACCTGGGCTGATAACTGGAGGGAGTCAGACCCTGGAGCAGGAGAGTTCCCCGCTGTGACACAAAGAGAGGAGACGGGAAGCACAAGATGTAGTATCGCAGTTAGATTCTCTACATTTGGAAGAGCTGTTGAAGGAAACTGGATTTGCATTGTTTGTGTTTCTTACAGCAGTTGGCATTAAATCTTTATAGAGCCATCGTTTTTGTCTCCCTGTCACCTCATCATTGTAAGAAGTGCCTATATGTTACAATGTCACCTGCCATTACAAGAACTTGAAATGCAATTTAGCAGTGAGAGGGAGTGGAGCCAGGAGGATTATTAGAGGAGACCAGAGCAGTGCTGGTGTCACCCACATCCACATCACTTATGTTATGTTGCCCACAAAGTCTGACATCAGTTTACTCAGGTAAAAGTACTAGTACAACTATGTAAAAAAATAAAAGTCCTGTTTTCAAAATCCTACCTAAGTACAGAAATCAGCTAAATGCACATAAAGTATCAATATAAAGTACTCATCCGGCAGAATAAGTGTCCCCTATGAGTGTTTCTTTATTTAAATAATACATAAATAGATTATTATCATTATCACTGATGCAATAATGTGTAAGTATTACTATTGTATCTGGTTGAAGTGGAGGTATTGTTACTGCTTTATCTACAGTACGGTATAGTGGTTCCTAATCTAGGGGTTACAAGATAGATCTGAAAGGTTGTGAGATTATTACAGGCCTCAAACAGGTATTTAAGTTGAGAGGAGAGATGTCTCTTTTGTCGGCCACAAGACTGATGGTTGACTAGACCTGTCATTGATATCTAAAATGGTATTATTTTGCTCAAATGTTGTAAAATGGTCTTCATAGGATTTCTGTGCAAGGCAATGTTGAAGCAAAATAAAGGGTAAAAGTGACTCTGAGGTCTAGTATAACAACATCAAACCCCTGCTGAAATAATTCACGCCAGTCTCTACTTGAGTAAATTAAAAAGTAATTTAAGTTGACACTTTTAAGCAGGTCACCTATCCATACACGACAGCACCGTCGGCTCTACTTTTCTCCTGTGAAATGATTGCTGTTGCATTTACAACTGGCCAGCGATCAATGCCTCGTCTGGCAAGTTGGTCATTACTAATGGCTTCAGAAACATCAAGTCCCCATTGTGAAGCTAGAGATATTGACAAGAGGTGTACTTAGTTGACTGGATTGATCAGCACATTTTGTTTAGTTTTTGAAGATTGTGAGAGTGGCGAAAGAGGACAATCAATTTCCACACGGTGGCTTTCACTGCTTGCTTATACACCTATGATTGGCTGGAGAAGATGTGCAATCCAAGATGTTAGATTGTTCATAATTATTTGGAAAAATTGCTGCACTTCGATTGAGCCTCAAGAAATGAATAATGTGAAACATTTTCACCATTGATTTTGCTTTTCTCTTCAAGAGAAACAAAGAACTCCAGTCACCAGACTGAACATAATGCTGAAGATCGAACATCTCCCATCAACAATGGGTCAATAGGAACTAATTTCTAAGTCTAAGTCTGCGTGGTTATAAATTAAATGCTTTTTTCCCCCCCAAGTCTTCTTGATTGGATTCACTGTTTTTGATGGTGTGGCTTTAGCTTTGTTAAAAGAAAAGATGATTGTTTCATCAAAAAGCCACAGAGTCAACTTTTCAAACTACGAGGGAGTTGTATTGATCTCTTGGAAGAACAGAAATCGTTTTGAAGGCATAGAAGCTTGATGTTTGGGAATAAATAATCCATATTTGGGTATTCATTGTGAGAGGACTTAAGCCCACCTGAGATGTCTATTTCATGTTTCTTTCTTTTGCGAAGGCTTTGTGTCTTCATAGAATTCAAACATTTCAAAAAGCTTCAGTTCCAAATACATGTCCGCTGTCAGGCCGAGTATGGAACATACCTTATGCAACTATATTCAATGTCATACAGCTGCTGTTTGTACATATTGCTGCCATGACAGGGTTTGTGGCAACTCCATTCCATCAGGACTACAATGCCCATGCAGCTTTTGTGGGCAGACAGATAATTAAATGTCGATTTACCCTCTTCAACTGTACTGGGGCAATACAGCAGCTTTGCTGATAGATTGAACACTTGCTACAGCCTCACGCTCCTATGATTCAAGGCAAGGTGTCATGTGCAGACAAGGTTATGAGGAATTGGCCCAATTCTGGCGCTGATTGCAACGTTTACTGGGGCTGCTGCTCTGGCTTGGAGTTAGAGACTGCTCAAGATGTATGTGCTGCTGCTGACGTATGTAGCCGTGGTGTGTTGGGGAGAGGGGAGACAATCACAATCCTGATCAGTCATCCAGACAGTCTGTGAGATGGGAAATGACTGCTGGCGGGGTTTCAGCCACTGGTTATAGATGAGAAAGGCACCGAGTAATAATAGATTCCTGACCCAACCTGATTTATCAATTGAATTATTAGTGTGATCCTCTTTATCATCCCCGTCATCTATCTTCTATAACTACTGCCAGTTTAAAATTGTGGAGCAGTTTGTACCATGTATAAAAAAAACACAGTTTCATGACCTTTAAATCAACACTTCTATATTTGGAGTTTGAGCAAATATATATAAAAAAAGATGAATGTCGTTGCTACAAAGATACAATATATGAGCCTGTCAAATAAAGAACAATTCTCCTGCTGCAACAAAATCCTGTTGTTCATCTCTTAAGTGACTGGTGCTTGATGTTCAAGCAGGTTAAGGTCAAGGAGGTGAACGGGGAAATTAAAATCACACTTGAAGACTTCGGTCGGAGAACCTATAGGGTGCAATCGCGGAGTGATTAATTTTCTTCCAAAAGCCACTGTGATTATTCTTGACACTGCGTGCATCGTATGCATCACTGGTCCTGACCTACACTCATGCTGCGCTCGGAATGTAGTCACGGCCAGGATGTTGCTTTTGTCCGATGCTGAGGTCACATCATTTGCATCACCTCTTGGATATGTCGGCTTCTTAGATTGGGGGCATGTTTTTGTTTACGTTGTTCCTTTTTTTTTTCAGCTCACTGTGCTCCATCCATATGAATGTTTAAGGCATGTATTCAGAAGCTATTCACATTTACTCATGCATTATGAAAAGTTTAAAAATGTTTTATATAAAAGTCCCTGTTGCTTAGTAGTCTAAAGTGCAGATGTAATCACAGGTTTGACATCCATTGGTACATGTCAACCCCCACATTTCCTGTCTGTCTCCACTGACAGTCTGTCAAACAAAAGAAAAATACCAAAGAAAAAGGCACTTTTTGGGATTTAGGATTATAAAACCTGAAGTCATTATTACATTTTAAAAAGAAAGAATGATTTATTGCATTATATTTCACCACATGTATTTTATGTTGGTCTGATACTGAAGTCACGGGGTATCTGCTTTTTAAAGTTTGAGCAAAATATCCTCATTCACTTCAGTTTTCTTTATTTTCTTTGTTTTCATTTGGTAATTAAAACTGATTTTGTCCAATTAGTTTGCAACATGTGACATGTTTCTTTTCTTTCATTCAGCATTTCCAGCTGCTTGTATTAGTATTAGTAAATATTTTGATAACTATCATATAAGACAAAGAAGCTGTAAGTATCCACGTTTGAGAAGCCAGATAATGTTGTTGTTTTTTCAAATATATACTAAGCAAGAGTGAGGGACAACTGTAACACTCAAGATGAAATGGCATCAAACCCTGATGTCACAATGAGCTGGTGTGTTTCTTTATAATGCTGTACAAAGA